AGCAGACTCCAATATTAAAATCCATGCTAGTGAAGATTAGAAACAAGCCACATACCCTCAATAGGTGTTTGCTTAAAATGGATTTACATCTTTGCAATGGAGTACTGTGCACCTGGTAAAATGATGATGCAAATATAAATTGTTGATAAAGATATATATATATATTTTTTTTTTTTAAAGAGCAGAGATTCCAACACCAAATTTTGGGTGGTGGAATTTTATTAGGTTGGTGCAAAGGTAATATGGTTTTTGCCCTTGGGAGATTGGGCTGATGGAGACACTCATTAACCAAGATTGATAATACAGAAAGGAGAAGTGGATTTTTTCCCTGTTTTCCCTGCTCTTTCCTCCCTTTTTGAGTAGGGGAAATGGTAGATTCAGTTTGATGTGGCCAAAAGCAGTGGCTTAGTAGTCAGTTTGCTTGGATTTGAATATGTCTCTACCATTAGTCGTGTGTGACTTGAAATGGTTTCACTTTGCCTGTCTGTGCCTTAGTTTTCTCACTTGGACAATGGGAATGATAGTGGTACTTACTTTTTGTAATTATGGAGTTTAGTGGTTTGAAGTAGAATATTTATACCAGTGCCCATTAAAGATAAGTCATCTCATGCAGTGAGACATAACTGGGACTTTCGAGCTCAGTTCCTTGAGGTCTTCTGGGCCTGGAACAAGTCTGCCTTATAAAAATTGGCTTAACTCTACGTGCTACATACTAAAGTAGTTCTTAATGTAGACTTTTAACCAACTGTCTTAGAAATGAGCCTTTGGAACTTAGGTCTACATGTGATAGGGGTACTTTCTAGTGTCTACTTGATAGAGCAGTCACTTTCTAGTAGGGGGAATTAGGTTCCCGAAAAGTTCTGTGGTCTGAGAATTCATTTTTGAGGAACTCAAAACACAAGAGAATAAACAGTTGATAGACTTGAAGGTCATACAAACCTGTGCAGATCATTGTAAATGTTTTCACATTCTAAAGGAAGACAGAGGACAGCAAGCAAAACATAGTATCAGTGGTAGTTTACATATTTTGAATTAGTAACAGGGTACCTGTACTGTTTACACTTACTGGTGATAACTTACCCCCAGAAACTTTTGTTTCTCCTCTTCAGTTTTAAAAATGATGTGTCAGTGCATTATGTATTGTTGCAGGTAATGTGCATATGATGCATTTCCTTTCTGTTTTATTCTATTTGTTGGTATGTCCAAATAGTGCTTGATTTTGTCTTTCAGGCCCAGGTGTGGTCCCAGAGATACCGAGTTGGTAGTTGAGATAGCCAAAATCTGGGGCAAAACTCATTTGATCTGCTCAGTTTTTAGTTCTTAAACCTTCTCCCTAGTTCTTTTCACATAATTGCATGAGAAAGCACATGCTTCTAGCCTCTTTAACACAAATTTCAGCTATTCCACTTCCAAAATGCCTTTGGAGTAGTATAATCCAGCACCCGTGTTTATAATTCCACATGTTCTTTGACCTTGACCAAGGTTTTAATGCAAAACTGAATCATCTGCTATTGGTTTTTACCTTCTTTTCAGTTTCTCTCTCTCTCTCTCTCTATCTCTATCTCTCTCTCTCTCTCTCTCTCTCTATATATATATATATATTTCTTTTTGAGACAGGATCTTACTCTGTTGCCCAGGCTGGAGTGCAGTGGCATGATCAGGGCTCCCTGCAGCCTTGACTTCCTGGAATCACGTTAGCTTCCCTATTAGCTGGGACTGTAGGCTGCACCACGACACCCAACTAGGTTTTTTATTTTTTGGGGTAGAGATGGGGTTTTGCCATGTTGCCAGGCTGGTCCTGAACTCCTGGGCTCAAGCGATCTACCTGCCTTTGCCTCCCAAAGTTCTGGGATTACAGGCATAAGCTGCTGTGCCTGGCCTAAGTTTTTTTTGATAAAGGGAAAATACAGCAATCTGTTATATGCTGGAATCAAAATTTTTCTACTAGATGAACTTTTGGGGAAATTTAGTATTCTGTTCTAAATTAAATGCCTTTTTCAAGTAATTACTGCTAATGAACTCTCTTGTTTTTTCATGTTTAGGGTGGTCGATGCAGAGTAGTGCATATAAGGGGCTAAAATCAGACTTTGACACATGTGGGTTCTTGCATCTCTGTATTTTCTCACAACTATTTCAGTGATCCTTAATGAGTGGCATCTTGGCATAGTGAACTTTAATGTGGGACCTGAGTTCACAAACTGTTACCTTAGGCCAGTTAATCTTTCTGACCTTTACTTTCCCTGTTGGTGAAATGGAAGTAACACTACCTACTTATAGGGCTGTTAGGAGGTCAAATGTGTCAACGTCTATAAAATGCCTCAGCTGAGTGATTGGCGCATAGATAGTAAGTGTTCCACAAATGTGCATTTCCCTATAGTTTTACTGATCATTTTGGTGCAATATTATATTCTTTATAAAGTCTTGTGTATTTTGGCCTTTTTTTTTTTTTTTTTGTAAGACTGTGTTTTCTAGGGTTTTGAGGGGAATGATAAATGTTCTGGGTTTTTAGGATTTCACTTGAAATCCTCCTATATAATTGCTTTTTCTCTGTAATGCCACTTGATCATCTTATTGGAAATAAGAGATTTTTTTTGCTTGTGTGTTAGGCATCAAAACCATGATACTTTTATTTTCCCTTTGGCTCCTTTGGCTATTATAATTCTAGAAAATTATTTCTAAAATTACTGTATGGGAAACGTACTTTCTTCTGTCACTTCTTTAATTAGTTAGTGTAAATGAGCAAAAGTTTATAAGGGAATGTTAGTTAACAGTGTATAAATTTTAGATAATGACATAAGTTTAATTTATGGAATCTAATTTTAGATCTAGTTTTTCTTGATTTCTATTTTGTAGCTTTTTTGTGGTTGCTTATTTTTAATGGGCACCTTCTGAGCTATCTTTTTAGATCCCAGTGTGCACTGTATTTTATCTTCTCGTATGGGCTAAATTTTTTAAATTGTGAAATATGTGAGAATTTGTGTAACATATGTAAAATGAAGTAATAAAAAACAACTTGGTATTTTCTCCCAGCTTAAGAAGTGAGATAGTACTTAACTAGTACTTTTGAAGCTCCTTGTGTCATACTGATTTTTTTTTTTCATTTGCTACTTGTAATACTTCCTACTACTTTAGTTATTTTGAAATTAGATACAATTTTTAGTTTGGTGTCATTACAAAACATTGTCACATTGGAGAACATATTGCACCTGCCATTTAGTTTGTTAGCTCCTGGGTTAATCTGAACTTGCCTGTCATGCTGATGCGTTCATTTCAGTCCCAGTCTTACATTCTGGATCTCTGTTGATTAGTGTTTTTTGTTTTTTTGTTTTCTGTTTTTGAGACAGATTTCCCTCTTGTTGCCCAGGCTGGAGTTCTATGGCGCGATCTCCGTTCACTGCAACCTCTGTCTCCTGAGTTCAAGCGATTCTCCTGCCTCAGCCCCCCCGAGTAGCTGGGATTACAGGGCGCCCAGCTATTTTTTTTTTTGTATTTTTAGTAGAGATAGGATTTCTCCATGTTGATCAGGCTGGTCTCGAACTCCCGACCTTAGTTGATACGCCCACCTCGGCCTCCCAAAGTGCTGAGATTACAGGCGTTAGCCACTGCACTCGACCTTGTATTTTTTATTTTATTTTTTACAAATCTTAGTGTATCAGTACTTTTAATTAGGTGGCTTGATTCCCGCCCCCCCCACCCCTGCCTTAGGAATACAAACACAAGAGACTAAGCTCAGTACCTGCCTGAGTATACCACGTGTTTAACAGCCTGTGGAAATTGTCCTGTCCCTGAAGATACGCTGTAGATTAATTTTATGCAGTGATTTTAAGACAACTAAAAAAGTGCTTTGTGAGTTTAACTTCTAAAATCCGTGTAAGCTCATTTTCTGGATTGTTCATAGACCATCACATTGCCTTTGGCAAACTGAGCTGGAACATACTGTAGAAGATTTGAGAATCATGAGAGGTTCCTGTGGTAAAGAGAGATGTTTGTCACTAGCATTTGATTGTTACTCCATAGTTTGAATGGCTCCATTTGTGGGGGAAATGATGAAAAATATACTCTGTATTTTTCTCAAAAAAAAAAAAAAAAAAAAAAGAAAATATGGCTGTCTAGATTTTTAAGCTTCTTTAGGAAGAAAATCATATCTGTAGCTTATCTGCAAAGCACATTTGGTGTGTGGAATTATAAAAACTCTGACCTCAAATTAACATTTTTGTTTTTGAAAAGTGACTAGCCTGAAGGAAGGATATATGGAATAATCACTAAAGTCCTTATTTAAAGTAATCCAAGGTCAAGATTTCTGGAGTTTATTGTTACTTAGCATATGATGGTTTGGTTACTATATAAGTCAGCAGCAAATTATGTAACTCAGAGATACTTTACGTGGCCTTTCAAATGAGTAAAGATTAATGGATAATGTTTCAAAAAGGTGTCAGAATTTTGACGTGTATTTCTTACCTTTAGATTTTTAAAATGGTAATGAAATAATCTAATCTCTAACAATTTTTAACAAAGAATACTGATACCTTAATTGATTCTACTTTCTTATAAATAACTTTTGTACCGGTGATACCTACTTCTACTGAAATTGGCGAGGTGTAAGTAGCGTTGTAACATTTTCTAGGTGAAGAATATGTTGTTGAGCCTAAAGGATTTGGTTATATAGTTCATAACTAGAGACTGAATTTATATTTTCTTTCCCCATAGTTCAAGTCTTAATTTTAAAGACTGATCATTTTAGGGGAAAAATTATTAGAAAATGATGTCCTTTGAGTAAAGATAATCTTGATTCAATTATTGTTTTTACAAATAAAACTATTCTGATGCAGCAGTCTAGTGTTCATTCGTCCATCTAGTCATACACCCCCACAGTATGCTATCAGCTGGTTGTAGGTCTAGTGTTTAATGTAATACCGTAACAGGTATTTGAATTGGAATGGTAGTTCTTCAGGAATAGAATCTGGAATACAGGTAAAGATTTCAGACACAATTCCTAATTTAAAAATAACTCACAGTGTCTCTGAGGTTATTTTCCAGTGAAGTGTTTAGTATTGCTGCTATTTGGAGTACAAAGTTGGAGCTTTTAAAGAACCTGGGAGTTCAAAAGTATAAGAAGAAATAAATGAAAAGCAGAAATATTTTGAGGCAATAAGTATAGACTCAAATCTATATTATGACCACTTGGAATTCTACCAATAAGAGATTTATTTGGGCAAACTATAATGGTTGTTGGAAATTGCAAATCTTAGTGTGAATTATTTTAGTCCAGTTGGTTTCTTTCTTTTACTTACCTGAAATGAACTATACTGAGGCAATAGGAGCTTTGTATAGTAATTTAGGAGTGTAAAACAACTTAGGGAAAAGGATTATTAAGCAGGATGATTTGGATGACATCATGTGAAATTTAGGAATTGGAGGCATTGGAATTGAGAGAGTACTAACAAAGGAAAACCGCTTATTTTAGAATTTGTCTGGAGGATGTAGAGTTGAAGAAAGTTTTGGTATTTCTTCTGCAGCGGCCCCAGTGCTCTTGACCAGGAACATCTCTTGGAGTCAGTAGTTTTCATGAGGCTGGCATAGGAGCTTGGCCAATGTATGCAACATTGTTCTATTTAGAATATTCCCTGAATTAATTCCATAGTGTCAAAACATAAATTTTTCACTCAACTCCTTTGTAAGTTAGATTTTAACTTGTACTTGTCTTTACCTCTTCCGCTGATATCAGTTGACAACACTGAGATTACTTTCATTTTCCTGTAAGTCGTCATGAATTTTTCTGGTCAACCATGAGTTATCAGCAGAAGCAGTAAGTAGGATGTACTGTAAAAGAATTACAATAAAATAAGAGAAACCACTTGGAGAGCAAGAGGGCTTGTGGACTTAGGGGAACAGTTATGAGAAGTGTCTCAGAATTTAATTTACAAATAACGTTGATAGATTGACATGTTGTCTTTCCCATGAAGTAACTTTCATTACCTCGGCCTTAATAGTAAACTACTATGAAAGTGAATTCACGTCTATCTTGATTTGTGAGCTGATGAAAATTACAAAATGTAGGGTTTTTTCCCCAGATAAATAGTGGAATGTTCAGGTTTGATGCCTGGAAAATAGCTGAAATTTTCCATGGTAGTAGGCACATTTTGAAACTGTTTTTCTTTTCTCTGACAATTGAATATATTTTATATATAGTTGATTTTGATTATTGAAGACTAAGGAAAATTGATTTTAAGTAAGTTTAAATGTTAGAAAATGAATTTTGCAAATTTGAAGTAATTTTATATGTTTTGGGATTGTAGTTATGTTAGATATTCCTCAATTAGGGGTAATTGTCTTGCATCATTATCTCTTATCATAATCTGTTTTTCTTCACACAGTGTTATAGTTTTGCCGCTGGACTCTTCCCTCCCTTCCCCCACCCCATCAGGATGATATGAGACTTGAAAGAAGACGATGCATACAGGTGACTCAAGTTTTGAAATACAGTAAAACTGTGGCTAAGAGAATGTGGGAATCGATGGTGTATTTTGAATGGGGGAGCGTTCTGATAAATAGTAGGGGGAATTGTAGATCAGTAAATGCAAAGGTAGTTGGGCTATTTGTTAAACTTTTGAACTCAGATTGATAATCAGTGATTTACAATGGTGTTATTACAAATACAGCATAGTAATTGCTAGCACTTAGGCTTTTCAAGAGCTAATATTTTGGTGGGAATTGGAATAATTCTGTTAATAATGTAAATAACACAGTTACCTTTATGGTTGAATGCATGTCTCCCCCAGAACTCTATTAGAATATGGCAAATCTTTTATGGGAGTAGATGTTAGTAGGATATCATTAAAAAAACTGACAGTTAAATTAAGGATATTATATTCATACGTATGGTTTCTTAAAAAGATATGCTCTGAGATTTTGTTTATTTTTTCCTTGTTCCTGATATCCCTGCCTCCCATTTCCTTCCCTCCCTTCCCCTCTTATCCTTTTGTCATTTGTATTTTTATACAGAAGAAGCAGTGTGAAGGCATTTTTGAAAGAATATTTTTTGATTGCTCTGTAATTAATTGAGATCTTATACATGGGAAGCTGGAGGCTATTCCATGTGTGGCTGTGTTCAAATTCCTGAAAATGTAGTGCAGCTAATGTATAAAGTGTTACTAACTTTTGAACTTAAATGTTCTTAAATCAGGCATATTGTAAGGCATTTTGTTGAACTAAGTGTCTTACATTTGAAACTCTGTCAAAGATAGTCTTGTTTGATTATATTTATAAACTAATGTTTGAAAATGTGATTGCTAACTGGAAAAGATAATTATATAAATTTTGAATTGATATCTAACAGATAGTAATTATATCATTGGTGTAGTTTTTGTGATTGGTTTTTATTTTTGGTGATCTGGGTTTTGTCTAGGGGAAAAATCATTTTATGATTTTAAAATTTTTAAAAAAATGTTTCGATGTACGATTTTATATGAAGAAATGTGCTTGAATATATTTATAAATTAAATTAGATTATATAATACTTTACGTTCATGTGGAAGTCACCATTTTAAGACTGATGTTAATTCTTGTTTACGTCAGAGGTGATTGAGCAATCACCTCCATTACGCATCTATCATGCATGCACACAGGCTTGCACGTGTTATGTGTGCCTGTACACATTAGAGGTATGCCGGGTACACATTCTGGCCGAGTTGCTCGCTGATTGTTGAAAGCAACGTGATGCTGAAGCTGAGTATCACCATCATAGAACAACAAATAGGCATATTTACAGAAACATTTTTAGAATTTTATGCACATTTTTTTGTTGTCAGATTTTATAAGTTTGACCTTTTGGTGCAGGAACTATTTCTCAGCATTGTCAGCTCCTGGATTGCTCCTTGGGCGCTATACTGCACATTGGCTATACCAAGTAGATGCTCACTTTCGACTGAGGTCAGTAGAGGAACAAAGTATTTTTGGGGTATCTCATAGATTTATCTATGAATATTACTGATTTTGGAGATTTTCTCTCATGAAATTTTGGAGTTGCAAAGTTTCTGTTTATCCTCACAAAACATGGAGGGTTTCCAAATAGCTCTTTTTCTTGAAAGGCTTATGGCCTCAATGGAATGAAATAACTAATGAGTAAATACAGTTTATAGTTATCTAATTAATTTTATGAATGCTAGAACACAAGAAAATTCTACAGATTAGATTTATGATAAAATCCAATCTTTTGTTCAGCTTTGTATTCTTTAAAAATTACCAGCATTTATTGGCTTACAAAGGAAAAAACCCAGGAAAGAAGATCTAGCTGTTAAATAAATATATTAGCTGTTGGTGTATTCCCTTTCTAACAATTTGGAAGTTAATAATTGTTTTTGAACATAAAATTAACAGCTTTCAGAATCATCATTAATATAGCAGTTTGGTCTTGTATTACTATGCACACATTTATTCGACTGATAGAATTTCATCACATTAAAACTCATGAGTAGATGTTCACTGAAAGTTGTTTCTAGAGAATGCTTACACATTTGAAAGCAAGTGGTCTGCTTTCTCCAGGCCTTGTTTTTACCTTCTGGCATTGTTCATGGTACTGGCTTTGTTATGTTGGTTAGATGTGGTAACTTATTCTCACCTTTTCCTTGATGAGGCACAGGTTCAGGGATGCTGGAAAGGACATTGAAGTAGGCATTGGCTGATGGGCCTTTCAGAAGTGAACACTTAAGAGTAGGTTTTCAGAGTAACTCTGTGAGGTGATGAGTATGTTAATTGACTTGATTGTGGTGATCATTTCATTTTGTATATATGTATCAAAACATCATGTACACCTTAAATATGTAAAATTCTTATTTTCCAGTTATAACTCAGTAAAACTGGTGGGGGAGAGAACAAATAGTTTTACTGAACACTAGGCCAAAGTCAGACTTTGATGTATTTTGTCCATGTGTCTGTAGGTGTTCCTGTACTTACTTAATTTGAGGATCTTTTTGCATGTTCTAAAATACAGTTAGAACATGAATGAGGTAAATTTGGATTTTCTTTTGATTTTTGGAAGAACAAATGATTTGTTAACAAACATTTATTTCGTCAGCATTTGCTTTGTACCAGGTACTCTATTATAGGTGCTCTGCCTACAAAGATCCCTGAGCTTATGGATAACAAATAAATGAGGCAGTGGAGGTTTCTGATAAAGTGTTAAGACTCACCTATTGAATTCAAGGCATGCAGAGAGAAAATAGCACTGTCTGGGTAATGACATTGACAGTAATGGCTTTACCTGTGTGCAGAGGTTACCAAAATCTCTGCATCCTATTCTTCTCTTCTGAGCTCCACACTCAGGTAACTGCTTCCTGGATGCTTCTCCTGCATATTCCCTCCTCCTTCCCCATTCAGTTCTCTTAGTAATGAGTGACACTGTTCTACCCTAACACAACATCATTTGGGGATCCTAGGAACCACTCTTTGCCCTTTTGAATCACAAGTAACCAAATTCAGTTTATTTAAGGTATAGAATCACTTCTGAGATGAGATTTGAAAAAAGTACTGCCTCAGAGATTACCATGTATATAAATATAAAGACTTTGATATAAAGAAACCTGTGTAAACCAGCATTTCTTCAGTTTATTTGATCAAGGGACCTCCCTTTCCTTTTATTTTTGATTTATACCTATTAACATCTTGTGGAACATGATTTGGGAAAATGTGTTGGGAATAGAAGTTGCTACCATTCTTTGTTTTGTTGAAATGAACTTCTTTAACACCTAAGAAATTTTTAAACAATAGTGATATACTAGTCACTTTAAAATGTGGAATAGTTCCAAAACATACAGAACTATCACTTTTTGAGGATGAATAAACATGGAAATTTATTTTTAAATGTGCTGATTTGTTCATATTGTCTTTGTCATAATTCTTATGCATACACTATATATATATATACACACACACACATATATATATGAATTTAAGTACTTAAAACCATTTGTGGCAGAGTTTTAATTTTAGATTCTCTTAACTCATTTTAAAATGTGAATTTTGTAGGACAAAATTTTCATATTTCGAGTGATCACAGAAATGTGGTGTATTCATTACAGAACAATTAGATTCCAGTGATCACAGAAATGGGGTGTATTCATTATACAAGAGTTAGAAATCAGATCTGTAAATCACAAAACCCCAGCTTTTAAAATCCCGTCATATGCAGGATACACTGGGAGAATGAAAGGGCATGTACATTGTAATACTTAGGTAGCTGTTGCCAGTTTGCCTCCCCTTGGAATTGTTCTTCTCGTGGTCGTGTGTGTCTGATCTTTTTCTTTGTGTCTCCTTCTCTAGCTCATGTCTCAACTCAAGCAGTTTGATTTTTTTCTTACTGGTTCAATAAATTTTTTTTTTAGTAAGTAAAAAAGATAGTGGATTTGCTTTTGCACTCATGGTTTTACTTCTTGTTTGTTAGATAATACAAAATCACTGAAAACAAAATCACTGAAAGAATTCTGAAATGTATAAATATATATGGATAAGTATAAGGAAACACCCCAAGTTTTAGTGTCCTCTACAGTGTGACACATTCCCTTCCAGTTTTTTTTCCATGCCATTTTTAAATTAATTGAGATCATTTTGAATATTCAGAATGATGTGGTTGGGTAAGATCCACTTTATACTCGAATCGACTAACATATCATAAATGTTTCTCTACGTCATCAAAAGCTTACGGTAGTGATCTGCTGTTACTTTGAACTTGGAGCAAATCCAGGGTACTCAGAATGCTTTTGAAGATCAATTACTTTAGATATTTATTTTACAGTTTGCTTATTTCATAGTTAAGTTAGGTATCTCTTATTTTTAGGCATTAAATTGTTTTCTAAAGCCCTAGTATCTGTGCATAATATTTGGCTGTAAAATTATTTTCTTATAATTGTTTCCTAGGAGTCATAGTGTTTGAAACACTTTCAGGCTCTTGATACAACTTTTCAGAAAGCTGTTTGGTAATATGTACCACTCTGTACATTACAAGAATGTCTCTTAATTTGTTTTTCTCAGCATTGAGTATTATAGTTAAGATAAATCTTCAACAGGCAAAAAGAAGTATCTCTTTATTTTTGAACAAATAAAGTAGTATTTTATACTTGGTGGAGGAGATATAAGTGCTGTAGAAATGCATAAAGTAAAAAGAGACAGCCACTCCCCCTTTCCTAATAGTTCAGATTCTTTCTAGCAAGTGGTTTTTGTTTAATACTTTTATGGCATGTGCACATATTGTTTACCGGTTTTATGTCCAGCTAGTCCGATAGTTCCTGAAGTTCAGGGGTTAAGGCTTATCCTCTTTGTGTGCCCTGTGACTGTCTGGCAGGATTTCTGGGACACAGGAAGTGCTCAGCAAATGCAAAAAGAATAATTTTTGCCATCCTAATGGCATTTTTAATGCCTAAAAATAAGTATATTCTCGCTTTAATACATTTCTTCAATTGGTTTTAA